TAGACAGACACAGGTGCATCCTGGAAAGGTAGCCATATCAAACTGGCAGGGGAGGGGGTAAAGTTACAAGGCAGGGCTGGCAAAAATGCCAGTTTACCTATTTCTATGTAGCTCCTTGCCTGCTTTGCCACTATCAGGTGTTTTGCTTCAGCTTATATCACTGTGTCCTGTCCAAAAAATTGGAGAAGACAGTTTTCCCTTTGGAAAAGTATCAATTAATAAACCCAGCCAGCCCAGATACATTGACTGATTAATCCTATGTATGCCTTTTCCTTAGCACAGCCCAGCATTTGAAAAGTCTGCAGCCTTTTATCTTGAATAAGTTGAGTTCAGTTCATGCTGGATTCTCTTCCCTACTGCAGTAATATTCCCCAGTGAAATCTGTCCGCGTCACTTTGACTAGTGTCTGGTATCGGAGAGTAGAATATCCCACATAAATATACTTCCTTGGTGCATTTCTAATAGGTTCTGAGAAATCGCAGACCTCTGCAGTTGTGGGAATGGCTCTGAAAAGCCGTTCTTTTGTAAAAGAAATTTACATCTCCTACATTAGCGAAGTAAAAAACAGATGCAGACAGAGGCATTTGTACCTGATACGTTCCTTGCTGCTCTGCCTAGGGAGACATCTTTCCACCAAAAGAAAATACTGGAGAATCTGACAACTACCTCAGAGGGAGACTACTTCTACGGGTGTTTTTTTTTTTTTTCAAAGATTTATTTATTTGAAAGGCAGAGTTACTGAGAGAGGGAGAGACAAAGGAAGAGAGAGATCCTCTGTCTGCTGGTTCATCCCCCAAATGGGATGCCAACAGGTGACTCTCACCTGGGAGTCTTCATCTGCATAACAGGACACCCCTTGCTTGCTATGCACCCCTTCCTGCTGTCCATAGCTTGCACTGCCTTCCTTGACCTGGAGCCCAAGTCCCAGCCCCCTAAGCTCTATGCGAGGGTCAGCCATCTTGCTCCTCTTTGAGGGTAATACTCTGTAGTGAGAAACAAGGTGCCCTTCTGTGTTAATTCAAAGCAGAGAGGGAGGTAGAGGTCCAGGAAAGTAGAATTCATTTAAAGGGATAATGCACACTCAGACACGAGTGCTGGCAAACTCTTTCATGAGGAAAGGAAGATGGTTGCCTCTGCCAAAGTTCAAGTCATCCCTCTATGAAGTAGGAGGTGGTCCTCTAATTGAATATTCAAATATTCAAATTGGGCAGGCTTTAGTGCATGTCTCAAGAAAGGTGCTGGTGGGATGATAGAGTCAAGGTCTTAAAAGAAAATATTTTCCAAACAAAAATATTACATTCAGCGAAGCTATCCCTTAGAAGTGAAGGAGTGAAGACAGTCCTACAATGGAGGCAAACATCAGGAAAATATGACTACCAAATTCACTAATAGAGCAGATACAATCAGTAACCAATCAATAAAATGATAAGCATTTGCTTTTATCCATCATTACTAACCTACAATACAAATGTATTAAATTACCCAATCAAAAGATTTAGATTGACTGAATGGATAAAAACAAAAAAACAAAAGATTCAACTATATGCTATCTACAAGAAACTCACTTCACAAGTAAAGATACACAAAGATTAAAAGTGAAGGGCTGGGCTGGCGCTGCGGCTCACTAGGTTAATCCTCCACCTGCAGCGCCGGCACACCGGGTTCTAGTCCCGGTTGGGGCGCCGGATTCTGTAACGGTTGCTCCTCTTTCAGTCCAGCTCTCTGCTGTGGCCCAGGAAGGCAGTGGAGGATGGCCCAAGTGGTTGGGCCCTGCACCCGCATGGGAGATCAGGAGGAAGCACCTGGCTCCTGGCTTCGGATCGGCTCAGCACGCCGGCTGGAGCGGCCATTAGGGGGGTGAATGAATGGAAGGAAGACCTTTCTCTCTGCTCTCTCTCACTGTCTAACTCTGCCTGTTAAAAAAAAAAAAAAAGTGAAGGGCTAGAAAAACATTTATCTGACAAGTAAAAACCAAAAATGAGTAGGAGTAGCTGTACTCGTATCAGATAAAATAGACTTTAAATAAAAAATGTAACAAGAGACAAAGGACATTATAAATTTATAAAAGGAATGATTCAACAGAGATATATCATAAATATATATGCACCCAACACAAAACCACCCAGATATATACAGCAAATACTATTAGATCTAAAGGGAGAGATAGAATCCAATATAATAATAGTGGGGGACTTCAACACCCCACTGTCATCAACAAACAGATCATCCAGACAGAAAATCAGCAGAGATAGAAGTTGACCATACTATGAAACAAAAGGATCTAACAGAGAGTTACAGAACATTTTACCAAACAGCCACAGAACACATTCTTCTCTTCGGCACATGGAACATTATCCAGGATTGATCATTTATTAGTCCACATTCAAGTCTCAGGAAATTTTAAAAGATTGAAATCATTCCAAGAAGGTGTCACGGCATCTCCTCATGGGGTGCAGCTTACATACGGTGATCATGGCGTCTGGTACATGGGAGGAAGTCAGGCTCACATGCATGATGTGACATGGGCACCGAGCCTGCAGCCACGTGGGGTCAGCATGGAAGGGTGTGGGGTTTTAGGAGGTGCACAGCTGTGGCAAACGGTGCTAGCAGTCTCTCAGCTCTTTGTCCCTCACTACCTCTCTGCCTAGCCCACATCACTTCTGTGCCTTAGACACATAATAAACTTTGTTATGTTATTTTTCCTGTCATTTGCCTATTATCAATTTATTTCAGAAAATAAAATTACCAAAAATTTTAAAAGAATACATTTAAAACTTCCCTGCACTAGTTTTGTTGCTCTTTGACAACAGGCAGATGTCTCCAACACTCGGCTCACTTCAAAGTCTCTCCAGTTTCCAGAAGTGATGGGTGATGTCCACCTATCATTGATGTGAGCTTTAGTATTGATGCTGGAAGAGAGGGGGAAATGAAATGTTTACCATATTATTTCAACCCCCCTGAACCTTCCACAGCTGTTCCTTGCTATTTTATTATACAGGAGGATGAAGAAGGCGGTGTAGCAGAACAGAAAAGACATGAGTTTTGCAGTGTGTGTAGACTTAGATTTTATTTTTTACCGTTTCCCTTGAAGTCCAAAGCCTCAAAATTCTCTTGTTATACTTTCCCATTCTTATCCTGAAAGTTTTCTTTTCTTTTGCTTTAACAGTTTGTCTGATCATACTTTTTTAGTTCATGCTTTTAAAAAAATTTTATTTAGTTAGTTGAAAGTCAGAGTAACAAAGAGAGCAAGGTCTTCCATCTGCTGGTTCACTCCCCAAGTGAATGCAACAGCCAGGGCTGAGCCAGGCAAAAGCCAGGAGCTAGAAGCTTAATCCAGGTCTCTTACATGAGTGGCAGGGGCCCAAGATGGGCCAACCTCCACTGCTTTTTTCCCAGGCCGTTAGCATGGAGATGGTTTGGAAGTGGAGCAGCTGGCATCACAGACAGAAGCTTAACCTCTACGCCACAATGCTGGCCCCAACTTCCCCAATTCTTATTCTGAAAGTTTTCCTATCTTATGCCTTAACAATGGGCTAAGTTCCTGGTTTTTAAGATATGGCTGTGCACACACACACACAGAATCAAGAGCAGAGAGCTACACATCCCATAACCTAGGCATGGCCAAAAAAAAGAAAATCTAACTGGCAGAATCAAGGAGATCAGACATGGGTACACGGAGCCTTTTCAGACATGAGAGTTCCTTCAACGTGGAAATCTAGAATTAAAAGTTCATCTGATCATGCTAGCCTGAATCCAGCCTCTCCAATCAAAGCTTGTCTGGCCCGCATGTCCGTGTTCCAGCTTTCTTCTACCTGGCCCCTTAAACTTTCTCCCAACCCTCAGTCAGGGAGACAAATTCGCATCCTATTCTCTTGCCTCTTTTAGAGGAATGACAAAGCCTTCCTCTCCTCAGAGGACTGGACATGCTTGGGAGCAGCAGCCAGGGCCCCATAGCACTATTCCTTGCTCCAATGTTTTAACTAGCTTCTCAAAACTGAAAAGGGGACTAAGTTTTCTTTAAGGTTTATTTATTTATACTTACTTGAAAGGCACAGTGACAGAAAGGGAAATGGTGATAGAGAGAAACAGAGATCTTCCATCCTCTGGTTCACTCCCCCAGAATCGCTGCAACAGCCAGAGTTGGACCAGGCCAAAGCCAGGAGCCAGGAACTCCAGTTAGATCCCCTCCATGGGTGGCAGGGGCTTAAACACACTTGGATGCTTTCCCAGGCACATTAGCAGGGAGCTGGATTGGAAGCACAGCAGCTAGGACTTCAATCAGTTGCTCTGATATGGATATCTGTGTCTCAAGCAATATGTCACATGCTGGCCCTGGGAATAAGCTTTAAATGTCTTATTGTCTTTATCTAAAAATAGAAATAATACCTACCACATAGACTTGTTGGAGAACTGAGATTGAGTGAGAAAACTAGTATAGAGTAGCAGCTAACTCACAGCACTTGGGTACAAATAATCGCTACTTTGTTTTATTAATCCCTGACAAATTCAGAGGAGAACTTTGCCCTCTCAATATTGCTCCAACTATACACTTCCTTGCGGAATCCTTCAAATAGCCATCCATAGGTTTCTGGTGAGCTTTTTCGCAGCTATCATTTTCTTTACAACCTTAGCTCCTTTCAGTGGAAAGTTGAGCATTCAATAAATATTTACTGAATGAACAAATACATGAATAAGTGCATGGAAAAATAGTTAGAGCAAAGTGGGGATAAACTCAAGGCACCCAAATGCTTTAATAGGCTACATCAATCAATGATGTCAAATTCAGTTGTGCAAGTAACAAACGCACCATAAGACATTAATCCACGCCTTTTTCCTGTATATGATCTGAAACTTCAATCTGTGTACTTTTCAGCCTTTTGATTTTCTTAAGAGTCTACATTCTCAGAAACAGGATCTAAAGGTAAGGATAGGAAATTACCACAGCGCAGTTTTCGTTTCCTGCTTTTGGGTATCTGTTGTCTTTGGGCTGCTTAAGCTCAGCTTCTTAAAGCTCAATCAACATGCCTATCCCACATGATTCAACTCTTAGATCCTCTTTTGTCCACAGGCAGTCAACTTAGGAGAAGGAAAGGCGCTCTCAAATGCTGCGTCTATCCTGGGACTCTATAGAACGATGGAGTTTCATTCCGGTTTAGAAAATGTAGATGAAGATGGATATACTCAATTAGTCTTCAACTCTCGAGTCACCACCAGAACATGTGTGTTATCAGAGAAAGGTATTATTTTTTCTTTCTGACTTCAGCACTCTCATTCACAATTAAATACTTAAGTGGAAAAAATTGTAGATACAACTTGTTAGATTTACTTAAAGATTTTTAAAAATTACAGAAGATAACTTGGATTTGTACTAAGCCTTTACTATTAACTAATTGTTAAGCCTAAGCTATTGAGTAACTAATTGTTAGTACTTAAATTAATTATGTATGATGGCAGAAAATACAGTTTCTCTGTTTTATAGAAATTGCCACTTCCTCTCTGAAGAGTTAGCAATAAGTATGAAGGGATTTCTTCTTTTGTTTTTGTATATTGTTTTTGCATCTGTTTTTTAAGATTGATTTATTTACTTGAAAGGCAGAGTTACAGAGACAGAAGTAGGTAGAGAGAGAGAAGTCTTTCATCTGCTGATTCACTCCCTAAATGGTTGCAATGGCTGGAGCTGCACCTATCTGAAGGCAGGAGCCAGGAGCCGGAAGCTTCTTCCAGGACTCCCACATGGGTGCAGGGGCCCAAGGCTTTGGGCCACTTTCTGCTGTTTTCCCAGGCCGTAACAGAGAGCTGGATCAGAAGCAGAGCAGTCAAGACTCGAACTGGTGCTATATGGGATGCTGGCTCTGCAAGCGGCAGTTTTACCAGCTACGGCACAGTGCTGGCCCCATGAAGGGGTTTCAATAAGGGTGACTTGTTGCTTGTTTGATAGAAGGGAATATATCATAGACTGGAGGTCAAGGAAACTTGTGTGTATCAACATCAGGAAAGACAAGAAAGAGAAGAATGATAAGAGTAGGCATTTGGCCTACTGTTTAAGATATCAGGGTGCCCACATTCCTAGAGTCTAAGACGCTGGGATTTGGACCTCAGCTCTGCTCCTGATACCAGCTTCCTGCTGGTGTGCACACCAGAAGGCAGCAAGTAAGGCTCCAGGAGCGGGGTCCCCATCGCCCATGACGGAGACCCAGATTGAGTTTCCAGATCCCAGCTTCAGCCTGGCCCAGCTTTGGCTGTTAAGTGCATTTGGGTAATGAACCAGCAGATGGGATGGTATCTCTCTGTTTCTCTGCCTCTACAATAAATAAAATAAATAAATTAAAAAAAAAACTTTTTTAGAAAAAGAATGAAAAGATGGGAGACAGATGACAAAAACAGTAAAATGATAATCTTCTTGTAGAGACCAAATGGAAATCAGAAGTCAAAGAGTTTATTTCTTTTTCCTGCTTTTTAAATTTTTTTAAATTTATTTGAAAGCCAGAGAGAGACAGAGACAGAAACGGGTCTCCCTTCTGCAGGCTTACTCCAAAAATGCCTACAATAGCCAAAGCTGGGTCAGGCCAAAGCCAGGAGATCAGAACTCAAACCAAGCCTCCCACATGAGTGGCAAGAACCCAAGCACTTGAGCCGTCACCTGCTGCTTCCTAGGGTGTGTATTTGTGGGAAGCTGGAACTGAAGGCAGAGCCAGGTCTTGAACTCAGACACTCTAATGTGGGATAAGGTTTTCCCAAGCTGTAACTTACTCACTATGCCAAACATCCGCTCCAGTCATGGGGTTTAAAAGTCTGAATCTGACATGCCTTTTGTGGTAAGAGATTGGTTTGCATGTTTCTTTTTAAAGGGAGTTCATGGCATTCTGGTGAAGGAAACATATTAGACAAAAAGTCATCATTAACTGGATATGAGACTTAAAATGTAAATGGAATGAAATATGGAGAAAGGAACCAGGGATCTCTTTATCAAACGAGTGATTTTGTCTCCTCTATGATTCTCCTTGACAATTCCGTGAAATGCTCTTCCTGTTTATTCTCAGTGAAAGGCAGAGATATACTCTTGCTGTGGAAATGTTAATACAACATCAGTTCCCTGTTGTCTTCAAGGGAAACATTCACATGTCTTGACATCAGAATGAGACTTCTGCTTTCTTCTTCACATTGCATAATTGTTTTCCTCTTACCACCAATTAAGCAATTTTTTCTTGGGCAACCTGCTGGGGTTTCCAGAAAGAAAAGTTGGTTGAGGGAGGTGGTATCCAGGTATGTGTGTGTTTATGCATATCAGTGGACAGTGAGTGACCTATAATGTGCTGGTCATCTCTAAGTGGGATGCTTTTTCGTGTTAGTTCACTTAATTCCCACAATAATCCTTGGAGGTATTAGAACCCCAGTGTCACAAAGAAAAATGAAAAACAAAAACAGAGGAAGTAACTTGACCAAAGTCATGCACCGAATAAGTCAAGAGGGGAGGTTATCCTTAGTAACCAATGCTATTTCTTCTACTTTAAGATGTCTCCTCCAAAAATGAAGGGGGGTATCAGAGACCGTAGGAGTGTCAGGACTCAAGAATGTTCACGTGGTTCTGAGGCCAGGAGTGTAAGCTGTTCTGCCTATGCTGAAGCTACAGCTACAGCCACCAAAGAAGAGGTATCCTAAGAGTAGGGGAAAACTCCATTAATTCTGAATGGCGAGGTTATCCAGGCACCAATGATGAATGATTCACTTTAGAATTTGCCAGATTGTAACGACAATGGAATTAAAGTTCTCCACGATCCCTCATCCTGGTCTCCATTCAATTTCTGCTCCTGGTGGCTCTTCAGGAACCCGTACTGTGTCTCCTCCTTGGCGTCTCATGGCTGTGACTTTGGGAGTCCTGTGCTTGGTAATACTGGTGGTAGCTGTGGTCCTGAGTGCCCTGGGTGAGTACTGGTTGGAGAGATTAACAACAGACATTTCACATGCATTTCACATGTACCAGGCAATCTTTTTAGGACTTGATGTGCATAATCTAATTTAATATGTATAGTAAACCCATTCAGTTAGTGCTTTTAAGCCTCATTTTACATATAAGGGACGTGAGAGACTGAGAGTGTTCTCTCGTTTTCCAGGGTCTTAAGTTAGTGATGGGATCATGATTCGACACTCAGATTATCCGTCTAAAAAACCTTATATTCTTAATTACTCTGCTGTGTTACTGTTGAATAGCTGGTTTCAAAGCTGTGATATTTGAAGGCTGAACTGATAGAAGGAAACCCTGGAGACTGGAGAAGGAAGTACAACATGATACTATCTCCCAAATGAAATGAATTCACTAAAGGGACCATGTACTACTTTTATGAATCTCAACATTTGTGGAAATTGTTTTATATCTGACCTTTAATATAAACCCCTCTAATATGCCAGGAAGTGTTTTGCCACTTACCAAGTACTAAGTATGTATTTTGTGATGGATAAATGCATTTCCCTATATTTTTATATCTCTCAATAATAATAATTGTGCTTAGAGAGTCTTTAGGAGTTTACTTAATTAGTCAAACAGTTCCTTGTACTTAAGGTATCGTAGGTACTACACAGGTGCTCAAGGGGCAGCTCCCATTTTTAAATAGGAAAAAAAACTAAAAGAATTACTATTTCAAATCTCTCATAGTGCCAACTGACTCTTTGTCATTTGTCTCCTACTGCTCCCTTCATTCTCTTTCTCCTCTACCCGATTATTTTTTCTCTTTTTCACCACAATTCTTTTTTTGGAAGTTATTTCTTTCTTTCTACCTATTTCATCTATCAATCTATTATTTATTATCATCTATCATCCTTACCTCTCCACCAACAATAAATCATCTATTTATCATTTATCAAGATTGTAGCTCTTTATGTTTCAATAACACGTGGGTTTGGGAATTTTAGTTTTCAAACATAGCAGGATGACTTTTTTGTCACTATTATTGTTGTTGGTATATGAAGCTTTTCAGAGATCCAATTCAGGGAGCCAACCTTTGAAGAATGACAACTTTCCATCAAGAAGTAGAGAGAACCACAATCAACCCACAAAATCATCTTTAGAAGAGAATGTGGCTCCTACCACGGCCCTCAAAACCACAGGCAAGGGCAGAATTAAAGGCTTCAGGGATTCCTTGGTTCAAGATGGTTAATTCTTGGTTCCAAGTCCCGGGGTAAGGTGATTAAGAGAATACGCTTATATCCAATGCCTGTGTGTTCAAGGCAAACACATTTATCAATATATTTTAGAACAATGTGTCCCTGTCAAACATGAAAAAAGTGGTATTGTAAACACCCGTGCATATAACTGGACAGTTTTAAGCTGGATTTTCCCCCCAGATTGGTAATTGATTTATTGACTGTATGAATAGAACTACAGGAGATTATATAACTTGATATAAAGGAAATAAAAATGTTCTCTCCCTTTAACAAACTGCTATTTTTAGTGGTATAATTAAACTAGGAAATAAAACATTAGAAAGGAAGAATAGTGTAGGAAAAGGAAAGAGGAGTAAATATTGCCAAGATTTAAAAAGCTAAATTAAAAACATAAAGAGGAGATACAACTAATATAAAAATTCCTAAAAACTCTGGTTAAATTTTCCTTTGATCATACAATTTAATTACTTGTTTTTTATTATTAAATATTTATTTATTTATTTGAAAGTCAGAGCCACAGAGAGGGAGTGGGACAGGCAGAGAGAAATCAATGGTTCACTCCCCAAATGGCTGCAATGACTAGGGCTGGGATAGGCTGAAGCAAAGAGCCAGGTGCTTCCTCTGAGTCTCCCACATGGCTGCAGGGGCCCAAACACTTGGACCACCTTCATCTGCTTTCCAAGGTGCATTAGCAGGAAGCTGGATTGAAAGTGAAGCAGATGGGACTACAACTGGTGCCCAAATGGGATGCCAATGGTGCATGCTGATGGTGATGCTGATGATGTTTTTATTTTTTATATATAAATTAATTTAACTTACTGCTTTCATTTTATTTGAAAGGCAGAGAGAGAGATATCTTTCATCTGCTGGTTCACTCTCCAAATGTCCCCAACAGCTAGGGCTGAGCAAAGCCAAAAGAAGGAGCCAGGACCTCAATCCTAGTTTCCAATGTGAATGGCAGGGATCTAACTGCTTAAACCATCACTGCTATTTCCCAGGATATGCATTAGCAGAAAGCTGCAATTGGAAGTAGAACCAGGACTTGAACCCAGTCCCTCCAATACGGGCTTCCCAAGCCACATCCTAACTGCTGTGCTAAAATGCTCACCCCTCTTAAATTTCATATACAGTTTATCTTTACCTTAATTTCATCATAATTGACTATGATTTAATATTTCCATTTCATTTTTTCATCTTTGTACCTGCAATGCCTATTTTTATCAACAATTTAATAAATATAATCAATATATTCTATAATGTGAATAATTACTGTTCAAGTTTTCTAATTTGGAAAGTCACATTTTTGAAATGGATCTCATACCATAAAATATGTTAAGTAGTATGAACTTAGGGTGTGCCCCAATGATTGACTTTGAGTGGGTTTACTTTAGGGAGTTATAGAGAGTCCTTGGTTGAATTTGAAGGAGTGGAACACAAATCAAAAAGGAAAGGATAGGTTGCTGCCTAAACCTTTGTCTAATTAATTTTTAAGTTTTAAATGAATGGTGGAATTTGAATGCATTCTCTTCTGTAAAATCATATCCCTATAGTTGGACTTGAAATGGTTCCATTCCCAGCTGCTGCACTTTCAGTGCAACTCCCTGTTAATACACCTGGGAAAGCAGCATAAGATGGCCCAAGTGCTTAGGCACTGCATCCATGTGGGAGACCCAGGCTGCCATTGCAGCCATTTCCAGAGCGAACCAGCAGATAAAAGAGCTCTCTCTGTGTAGCTCTGCCTTTCAAATAAAACTAAAAACAGAGAGAGAGAGAAATGATGCTTACACTAGGACAGTGAGCTGATGTGCTATGAAACTCATAGTCTCTATCGCTTATTTCCAGGCTTCTTTTCCAGCTCTTGTCCCCCTAATTGGATCATGCACGAGACAAGCTGTTATCTATTTAGAACATCACTAGATACCTGGAATGGAAGTAAAAGACAATGCTCTCAACTGGCCTCTCATCTCCTGAAGATAGACAGCTCAGAAGAACTGGTAAGTGTAGATCTCAAGTTTAACTCCCTGTTAACAATTTTCCCTGAGAGAAAGTCATTTTTAATTTCTTTATTATCACACTAGTAGCATGCATTAAGCATGTAAAGTGCATAGTATATGCTTTTATGTTTAATTAATTTTTCAAAGATTTATTTATTTATTTATTTATTTGAAAGGCAGAGTTACAGAGACAAAGAGATCCTCCATCCACTGGTTCACTCCCCAAATGGCTGAAACATCTGGAGCTGGGCCAATCCGAAGCCAGGAGCTTCTTCCAGGTCTTCTTCCAGGGGCCTAAGGACTTGGGCCATCTTTAACTGCTTTCCCAGGTCATAGCAGAGAGCTGGATCAGAAGTGGAGCAGTCGGGACTCAAACCAGCATCCATATGGGATACTGGCATCACAGGTGGTGGCTTTACCAGCCATGCCACAACACTGGCCCCTTAATTAATTTTTTAAATAACCACATTTCACTTTAAAACAAATCCATTTCAAACACACCCTATGTCTGCATGATTATTGTAACCAAATCACTACCCATTTTAGTAGATTTACACTGTCAATTTTTAAATTTGGTGGAGTAAAAGAGAAAATTCTACCCTTTGCCATAATAATTGCCAAGAAAAATAGAAGCTGGAGCAGGTGTTTTGGCACAGAAGGTCAAGCCACTGCTTTGGACACGGACATCCCATATAGCAGTGCCTGGGACCAAGTCCTGCCTCTGCTTTCCATCCAGCTTCCTTATTGTGTCTGGGAAGGCAGAAGATGGTGACGCAAGAACTTTGGATCCCTGCCACCCACATGGGAGATCCCAATGGAGTTCCTGTTTCCTGGCTTTGACCTGGTCCAGCCTTGGCTGTTGTGGGCATCTGGGGAATGAACCAGTAGATGAAAGATTCTCTCTCTCTCTCTCTCGCTCTCGCTCTCGCTCTCTTCCTCTCCTCTCTCTGTGTAACCCTGACTTTCAAATAAATAAATAAATCTTTAAATGAGTCTCTCAGTTTATGATGAACAAAAGGCAAAACACAGATAAATTATGACAAAGGATATGGTCAGGTAACAATTTACACTCAAAATCTAATTTATAACTTCTCCATCTAGCTTCATTATGCTCAATATTCTGGTTCTGTACTATCTTGCCCAACAGTTGCATTTCACGTTAAAATTAATGAAAGTGGGTATATGGCCAAGGAAGAATGTTGTACTAGAAGGCTGTCTGCTTTTAGAGCACTTTGCAATTGACAATAAATTGTCCTGTACTTGTCAACAATTCAGTTACTTTCATGGAATCTCAGACTGCTTTTTACTAAAACATTTAGAGAGTCTAAATTATTTTGAAGTTGTTATCCAATGCTAAGAAACATTTCTTGATGAACACAGTATCAATCTAGATTTTCAACTTGAGAAGATAGTAGCCTATCGTCCATGAAAGCCACATTGAGAGCTTATCACCCATGGATTTTGTCAAGTTTGGCTTGAATGAAGGCAATACATTGACATTATGAACCTATTCTATATTGGAAATTGAATGATAATTACTCTAAAGAAACGAAATAGGCCTTGCGAAACATTCAAGAAAGAGCCCCTCTCAGCATGGTTGTCAGTTTATGCACATCTCCATCACCAAAGTGATTTAATCTTCCTTGCTTCTTTTTATTTACAAATTTATTTTATTCACTTGAAAGTCAAGAATTAAGCATATATATATATAGAGAGAGAGACAGAGTGATATCCTCCATTTGCTGTTTCACTCCCCAAATGGCCCCAATGGCCAGAGCTGAGCCAGACCAAAGCCAGGAGCCAGGAGCTTCCTCCAGGTCTCCCACATGAGTGGCAAGTGCCCAAGCTCTTGGGCCATCTTCTGCTGCTTTTCCCAAGCACATTAGCAGGGAGCTGGATTGGAAGTGGAGCAGCCAGACACAAACCAGAGCCCGTATGGGATGCTGGCATCACAGGCAGCGGCTTCACCCACTCCGCCACAGCATCAGTCCCTTATGTTTTTCTTAACATCTATAAGTCTATCATCTAGCTACCTATCTATCTGTCCCCATGATGTGTGTTTGTAATCAATTCTGTTTCACTACAGGAATTTATAGAAAGAGAAATGTCTTTCCAACCTGTTCATTCATTTTGGATAGGGCTGTCTCGTTCCCAGAGTGGGAGCCCATGGCTCTGGGAGGATGGATCAACATTCTCTTCTAACTTGTAAGTATCTCAGAAGCTTCATCCTTTTCCTCAAAGAGACCAAAGAACATCAAGCATTTAAGAACCTGGTTTGGTAGCTGTGTGTGAGAAAGAGAGAGAAAGAAAAATATGCAGTGAGAAAGAGTGAGCTGGGGAGGAAAAGAAAAGGTGGGAGGAGGACTCGGGTCAGAAGGAGCTGCGAGGCCAGCCAGTGCTATCCACAGAGCGGTCCCATTAATTTCTTTGCAGCAGGACACATGGCATCTGTTTGAAGTTGCCCAGTCAAGGAGCAGTCACTGCCACTCAGCACACCACTGTGACTAAGAGCAGGGGTTTCCAAGTCAGGCCTCAGCTGAGTTAGTGACGAGCCCTCTCACTGGCTGTGTGACACTTTCCTTTCCTTATCTTTCAATGAGCATGGAACTCATAAGACTGTGAGACAAAGGGGATAAAATAAAATCATTTAGTACAGTGTCTTGCGTATAGTAAGCATGTGATATACACTATTATCAAGTTAAAAAACAACCACATAGCTCATTTAATTATTTTCAACTTATTGATCTTCCTCAGTGTGTATTGAAACCTTCCTCACTGTAATTGTCATGTATTTTCTTTTTAAATCAGAATATCAAATTATATCTTCCTTGTATGTTCCTGTTACTTCTTTTAAGTTCTTTGTGTTGAATTTGCTATTTGACCTTAACTTCCCATATTGGATGGTTAACTCATGAACTTCAGCTCTTCTTGTTCTCAAGTGCATGCAGTGAAGGCTATCATTCTAATAGATTTCCACAGTCATTTAGTTCAGAATACTTTCTGACTTCCACTGTGTGTTTCTGACTTCCCATGAGTTGCCTGGGAGTCCATTTCTGAATTTACAAACATGTGAGCATTTTTTAGTTTTCTCTTTGTTTTAGGTTTCAGGTTTACCTGCTTTGTGATGATCAGAGAAATACTGTGTGATGGAATTTTTGTGGTGTGTGAGTGTGAGTGAGTGCATGTGTGGTGGGGTGTGTGTGTGTGCAGAGCTAGATCTATGGAGCACACTGCAAGGAAGCAGCAGACAAGAAACACAGGTAGGGCTAACTACCTGAGGATATACTGTAGCAGCAGTCCTTTCTTAGTGAAGGTGACTATTGCCATGTGCTTGCAAGAGAACAGCAGGTCTGTTGAAATAGGACTAGAATCCAAGAAGCATACTTGTAACTGCAGTATTTTCTAAATTAGGGTGGGTTTCCTATGGTCCAACAAGTTTTCTCAGGTAGGTGATTTGCATCTCTAGGTGGAACTGGAGCGTCTACACACCATATAGCTAAAGGATTCCACTGAATGCCCAGGGCCACCCTCCACATTGCCCTCCTGATAGATTAACTGTCGCTCCCCCATTCACGGAGGAACAACACCGGACCCTGAGCTGTTCTCTTTTCCCGGCCCTTCCCGGGTTAGCTGCCATGCCCTCACTCACGGAGGAACGACGCCGTCCCGGGTTAGCTGCCGGCCCCCCCGCCCGCCTCTGCGGAGGAGCGGCACACCGCCGGCCAGCTCTCTCAGGGGCTGCTCAGATGTTCCTCAGATGTTGCCCGGTGCATATTGTCTCTCTCTTCCTTTATAGTCCTCTTCCACCAATCCATGCTCTGCTGCCCACACGCCGAGCATGCTGCTCTCCTCCAATCAGGAGCAGGATTAGCTCCGGCAGCTTATCAGTCGAACTGGTGAGGCAGCTGTGTAGAAGTTGTTTGCTCTCTCTCAGCGCCATATTGTGGGAGAGCAGATGCATAGAATTAGTCCTAGTTCCAGTAATTTAGTCTAGTCTCAGTTGCTCCCCACAATTAACAATGACAAATCTTTGGCATTTGGGCAAAGGTCTCATCTTCTGTAACTATGCTGGTTCCAGCTTGTGTTTCAACCTAGCTAAGAATATTTTTTCCTATTTCCTCCTGATAGCAAGATTGAGACATGCCTATTTCTATGTTCTTTTCTGTTTTATGATTTTATTTTTCATTTACTCCTACACTAAAAGAGCTCTTTGTTTTCTAGCTTTTGCAGTGTTTGCTATTAAATCTCCCAGCTTAAATGAATTTTATTGCATACTATTTGATCAAGGAGATGGTATACCTTACAACTAAGTAAAAATACAGCCCTTTAAAACACTAGCTCTGTTTGTGTGTGTGTGTGTGTGTGTGTGTGTAAACAGTCAATGTTCATGTAGATTCACCCACATATTTATGGTTTTTATTGTTTCTTATTTATTTTATTTATTAATTTGAAAGGTAGAGAAATACAGATGGGGAGAGACAGAGAGAGAGAAAGAGACAGATACAGAGAGATCGATCTTCCAGTCTTCCAACTGCTGGTTCATTCTCCACATGGCCACAACTGCTAGGTCTGGGACAGGCTGAAACCAGGAGCCAGGAGTTCCATCCTGATCTCCCTCATGGGTGGTGGGGGCCCAAGTGGGTGAGCCATCTTTTACTACCTTCCTAGGTGAAATAAGCAGTGAGCCGGGTCAAAAGCAGAGCATCCAGGACTCAAAACAGCACTCCAGAAACTACCAGATTCCGCCTTGAATCCTTGCTGATTTATTTCAGTACCTAGTAGGCAGGATTCCTTATGTTTGTTCTAATTAACTTACTATATTTTATTTTAACAGGTTTCAAATAAGAAGCACAGCTACCCGGGAAAGCTCATCTCACAATTGTGTATGGATTCACATGTCAGTCGTGTACGACCAACTCTGCAATGTGCCCTCATACAGTATTTGTGAGAAGCAACTGTCACTGTAAGGTCAAAAGGGTGGGGAAAGAAGTAGGTGAGATAGTAAGGAGAGTAGAATTCATAACAGAAAAGAGTGATATCAGAAGTCAAAACAAACGCTGAAAAGGCTGAGAGCTCATCATATTTTCATTAGCTGAGAAATAGGGTGGAGAGGATGTGATTTTTGCTCCTGTCCACGCCATAGGTAAACCAGTAGTATGTTCCAGTCACTAGCATCCTGGACATGGAGTCAGGGCAGGTAAGCCTGAATTTTCATTCTACCATTGACTTGATATTCCCTAGATAAACCACAAGTCCTTGGTACTGCAAAGGAGTCAATCTCTGGCTCTACCTGACTTACTTGTGTTTTGTCCTCAGAAGGCATCATCAGATGCACACTGTGTTTTCATGACTTCATTTCTAGCAGTATACCAGATAGACAAAGACAGAAGGCAGAATATACTTCTGAGCAGTAAATGAAGGCATCTAAAAGGGTAAAAAAAAAAAACACAACTTCACACAATTTGAGCTTTTCATTACTTTCATCACCAGCATCATTAGCAAGGAGCAACTCCAACTTCTCAATTAAATAACCCAGAGGATGTGCCAGACCTATTTACTAGTAGAATCCTATGCTGTGAAACTGTAGAGAAACTACTCCTATAGGAAGACCTTATCATTTTTAGCATACTACCCATCAAAAAGTAAATAAAATGCTAAAATGATTTGGCAGAATTAATATTTGGAGATATAAAACATGTTTTATTATTGATTCTTTATGATACGCTGTTTGGTAATCTTCACCAATTCCTCAGTCATTGTTGTGAAACACGTGTTATTGCAATGGAACTACATTTCCTCAGGTGGTGATCTGTCTAATTCTCTTTCAGCCTTTCCCACTTCTGCTATTTTTATTTCCAATGGAAATCCCCACACTACTAGGGAGACATTTACAGCCTTCACATGTTGATTACTATGTGAACAGAAATTTTGCCAAGTTCATGGAATTATTCACATCAAAATGGTTAACTTTATGTTTTGTGGATATCAGCTCAATAAAAGCAGTTCTTACAAAGAATTTTTGGCTTTTAAATTACATGCCTCTGTGTGACAATGACCATCACCATTCCCTCTCCACCAAAGTGATGATAAATTTTGGTTCTGGGGAGGGAGTATATATAGTCAGTCATTCTGAATTGAGACATAAATTTGGGCTCTCAAAGAGTTTTTAAATCTAAGAGAAGAAGGTAGAGATTTTTGCAAAGCTTATTTTTGTCCTCTTTTAAAGATTTGTTAATTTATTCATTTGAAAAGTAGAATGATAGAAGAGTGGGAGAGAGAGAGAGACTTTGTATCCATTGGCTCATTCCCCAAGTACCTGCAACAGCCCATGTTAGTCTGGACCAGGCCAAAGCCCAGAGCCAAGAACTCCATCTGGGTCTCCCACATGGGTAGTAGGAACCCAGGTACTTGGGTCATCTCCATTGTCTCCCAGGTGCATTAGCAGGAAACTGGATCTGAAGTGCTGATCATTATCATGAACCCTCACTATGTGATATTAGTATTTCTTTTTTCAAGAAAATAAATCTGTATGCACATAATCTCTACTTAAACTCAAAGAAAGCAGTGAGAGAGGAAGAACATATGAAAACCAACAAGAAAGCAAATAACAAATGGAAATGCTAAGTCCTTCTTTATCAATCGCTACTCTGAATGTAAATAGATTAAATTTTCTAAAAGACAGAATGGTTAACTGCATAAAAAACAAAACTCAACTATATGCTTCCGAAAATAGATTCACTTCACAAGTAAGGATATTATCAAACACCCCCAAAACTGGTTGTAGGAATTATTGTAGAACCCCCCAAACTGGGTCAGTAAGCCAATTACTAACATGGGGTGGCAGAAGAAAGTAGAAATTTATTGCAAAGCGCAGAGCAAGGAGCTGGGCAGCTTAATTCCCAGGGCTGAGATGTGCACGCTCGGCTCTTGTCTGAGTTCCTGATTGGTCTGTATGCTCGTGACCCTTCTTCTATTGGTTGGCAATATCATATCCTTTAGTGAATGTGAATGATGGCAAAGGGGGCTCCAGTCACTTTTTGCTTCAGGCCTGGAGTTCCTGGAAAA